GGGGGGTTGGCCTGACGGCAGCTGACAAAAAACAGGAAGAAGGGCTGGGGGAGCGGCTGTAATTACGGGGCATTTATTATTAATTAGATGAAATTGCTGGAAGCAGCTGGTGTAATGTGCGTAGCGATACAGACTGTGCATGCTTCCCCCCACAACACGCACACACACATACACATGCCACACATAGTCTGAGCCTCACTTGTTTACACAATTTTTTTCTTGTGAAGGTCAGATGGGTCTATGTGTGTCTGAGTCTGTGCATATTGGCTTGTGTCTGTGTTTTTCCATGTCAGCCTGTACCCTCCTCTACCTCTATTGTCTCCTTTTCCAGCTATTTCTGTCATTCTTAGGCCTGATGTGTGTCTCTCTGTCTGTCTTCCCTTCTCTCTCCTTCTCTTTGGGCTAATGTCTTGATGTGTCTGTATCTGTCACCGTCAGCCGTCCTGTCTCTAACACCTTGTTTTACTTTCTGGCTGTCTCTCCCTGGTTGGTGGTATCTCTCCATCTCTGGACAGGATTGGATGACATGGAATCCTTCTTTCATGGGTATGTGTTTAGGCACCTAATCATACCTTTGGCAGATACATCTGGGGCTTGTTTGGGGGGGAGGGGCAGCTGGATCCTGAAGATCTCCTGGGGTCTTATAGAAAGTGAGGGATCTGTTGAGTGGCTAAAGTCCATAGAAGCAAGAGTGGCTTTCATGAAGACATCCCTTAGTTCAATGCCAGCTCCCTTACCAACTACCAGTTTTGTGACTTTGGGCAAGCTGCTTTTGCTCTTTGAGCCTCAGTTTCCTCATCTGTAAAATGGAAACAGGATTACCTCTGAAGGTTGATTTGATGATTTAGTAAAAAAAATGTAAGTCAAGTGCTCATCACAATGATGTGTGGCTAATCAGGGACCCTGAACAAATGCTAGCTGCTATTATTATTGGGAAAGGCACTGTGCAGGTGGGTGAGAGATCTGCAGAGGCAAACTGATATAGTAGAAAGGCTTGGGAGTTAGATATGGACTCAAATCTAGGCCCTGGAACCAATCAGCTCTGTAACCTCGGGCATATTACCTAACCTTGAATCTCAGTTTCCTTAGCTGTCGAATGAGAAAATAATAGGGGCCGGCCTGTGGCTCACTCGGGAGAGTGTGGTGCTGATAACACCAAGGCCCCGGGTTCGGATCCCATATAGGGATGGCCGGTTTGCTCACTGGCTGAGCGTGGTGCTGACAACACCAAGTCAAGGGTTAAGATCCCCTTACCGGTCATCTTTAAAAAAAAAAAAAAAGAAAGAAAATAATAGAACCTGCCTCATGGAGAAGTCATGAGGATTAAATGAGATAATGCATATGAAGTGCTTAGTACGGTTCCTGGTATATAGCAGATGCTCAATGAATCACAGTGGTGATAAGGAATAGAGTGTTGTGATGGTGGATGTTTATGCCATGCCTGTGACCTGCGTCTCTGCATGAGTGTGCGTGTGAGAGTGTGTGCGATATGGAGATGCCTGTGCTGGCAAACTGGTTGTGTGGGGATTTTGGATTGTCTGTGGGTGTGTATCTTTGTGGTGTCAAACTACTGTCTTCTGGCCTTTCTTTGTCCCTGTGGTTCACAACCTGAAGTCAGCAAGGGGTGCTGAAGGGATTCTGTACTACTCCAACTTTTCCTCTTCCAGATGTTTATCTGCTGCCTGCCTCAGTCTCCCCTTCTCACAGTGGGAGCTCTAAGTTGGACTAAGACCTGTGGCTCCTCTGTGACCTCTGATTTGTTCCCTTTGCCTTTCTAGAATCCAGCCTTGTCACATCATCCCACCCCTGTGGTTTTGAAAGTCCTGGGAAGAGTTTGGTCTGGTGGAGGAGGAGGACGTTAATGCACTTGGTGTGTGGCCAGTGGTGAAGAGGTAAGTGCAGGGGCCCAAGTGGGACAGGTCAGTCTCAGGGCATCAGACAGGTGTAATGGGGATGTAGGTCTGGGGGAGGTGAGTGAAGGAGGCCCTGAGATCCTTTCATTTCCTTGTCCTTCTTCCTTCTGGGTTTTGGACTCAGCCAGGCTAGGGCTTTTCATGCCCCCTGATAGCCCTGGAGAGGGTAGAAAGAGACTTACCCACAGTCACACAGGCAAAGGCAAAACCAGGTCAGGAAACTGGGTGCTACACCAAGGGAAGCCAAATCCCAGATGTGGGAATGCTTCCGTTTCACTGTCCTCAGTTTCCCTCTCTGCCCCTAAAACATCTCTTTGGCTTGATTGGGGAGCAGCTGAGCTTGGAGGATTTGGGATGGGGGGTTCGGAAAGTCCAGAATCTTCTGGGGCCAGCTGTGGGACTAAGCCTGACTCTCCCTGCCTCTCATACAGGCCAGACAAGGCCCCCAGATTGGCAGCCCGGGCGTGGGGGAGTCCAAGGAATCGAGGCACTGGAGCGGAACGGAAGGGCCTATTGTTCAAAACCCGCCAGAGGCCCACAAAGGCCGGCCAGGCTTTTCATCTCAGTTCCCAAACAGACTGGCCATTTTCCCGGCCTGCGCTGGGGCCGGGGGGGCTGCTAACTTTTCAGAACTAGGACTGGGGTGTTGTTAAGGGTGGAGTGGGGTACCCCAGGCTGACACATGACCATCAAAGGGACTTTAAGATGGAGCTGGGGCCCAGGAAAGGAGGAAGGGAGGCCCCAGATGGTTGTAAAGAGTTAAGCTTTTCACCTCCACCTCATTGTTCCCAGAGGACCCAAAGACATGGGGTGGGGAAATGGATTTATGGAATTCAGACTTAGGATGAGACTAGGAAATGGATTTATGGAATAAGAGATAATACTTACAGGAGGCATACCTGGGAGGAGTCATACAGCTTATTGGAAAAGTGGGCTACTGAACTGAGGGCACAGAATCCTCCCCCTAAGTTGGGAACACCTTAGGGAACAAGGACAGAGGCTGGAAAAGACAGGGCTAATGGGCTCCCTGCAGCAGGAGGGACTGAGGCCAGACAGCAGGAAGGACTTCCTGCCAGTGAACAGTAGCTCAGATGCCCTGACCCTGTCCCTGGGGATCTCAGAGGATCGCAGAGAGCAGGGGAGCTGGAGAACACCCCAGGGGCTCAGGCTGAGGCAGCTTCTGTGGGGGCTGAGGAGGCCGCTGGGGAGGGAGGACTTGGCAGTTCCATCTACCCTCCCCCAGCAGCACCTCCAGCACCACTTTAAAAACAGCTTTTTAATTTAACAAAGTGGATGAAAAACTGTTTTTGGAAATAAAAGATATCTGCTGTCTCCCAGGCTAGCACTCAGCCCTTGCAGGGAGCCTCTCTCTGAGCTTCTCTCTGATGCTGGTGGCTCCCTTCCCCTCTCTCTGTCTCTTTTTTTGTTTGCTTGCTTCTGCTTCTGGTGGGGGGAGAGGGGGGCAGCTTCCCTTTGGCCTCCCATCACCCCCAGTCTCTCCATCTCAGCTTCTGTGGGAGTCTGACCCTCATTTTCTTGTATCTGTTTCTCTGCATCTCCTTCTGTCTCTCCTCTCCCAGTCTCTCTCTTCCGGGCCGTCTCTCTTTCCTGATTTGTCTCTGTCTCCCAGCCTGCCTCAATCTCTGTCTCTCTCCACCCCCCTCCTTCTCCCCCAACCCCAGCTCTAAATGGGTCTATTTAAAACGCCCAACGCTGCCAAGTCAGAAAAGCGTCTCCTGGTAAAGCGCATTAGGCGGAGGGAGAGAGGGAGGGAGGAGGAGGGAGGAGGGGGGAGGAGGGTGCAGCGGGCGGATGGATTGATCCAAGCCCGTAACCCCATTAATCAGGCAGTGTGGATCCCCCTCCCTTCCCCAGCTTCAGCCCCTTCTGAGCTAAAAGCCCCTTAAATATTTATCACCCCTCCCCCACAGGGGTGAGGGGAGGGGTGTATGGCCCTTGGTGTGAGCATCCCCAGCTGCCTGGTGCCCCTACCCCTTTGCGTGTACATATGTGTGCATGTGCTTATGTGTGTATGCATGTGCACACCTGACATACCCGGGGACCTAGCTGCCTACTTGCTCCGCACCATCTGGGCAGCCTGGTTCCTTGGGCAGCCCCTGCCTATGAGTCTGGACCTGCTCCTGTCCCTCTTTAAGCGGGGATTGGGCATGCATAATAGGGAGACCCCAGGGTCAGTTGGGGTCTTCATCCCACCTCCTCAAATGCAGAAAGTAATTGGAGGACTGGGTGACATCGCAGTGTCATTCTCAGAGGGCAGGATGGTGAGCTGGCGTTCAATTTCCAGATTCCTCCAAATTCCTAGAGCAGAAAGTAACGGGGAATAGAGTTGGGAGCATCTGTGTTCTTAAAGTGTAGGAAGGTAATTTGGAAAGCTGGCTGAAGTTCCCCCTTTATCCTCAGAGGTCGGGAATATGACCTGGGGGTTGGTTGGGGGCCTCCCATACCCTAAAAAATGCAGGAAGGTGACCTGGGCCTGGGTTAGCGGTCCCCATCACCCCCAGAGAGTAGGAAGGTGGCCCAGAGCTGGGCCTGGGTCCCCCATCTTACCGCTTGCTGTCACCCCCAGGCAGCAGAGGTCAGCCCTGAGACCCGAAGTAGTCTGTCTGAGTTGGCCCAAGGCAACTTCGCCTTGGACGGGGAAGGGAGGCCCGGGCTCTCCTGGGTATGAGGCGGGGCCCCAGCCCAAGCCGAGAGGGTCCCTTCTCCCTCCCCTCCCCCAGCATCAAGTGCCACATCTCCTCCTGACTCAGACAATTAGATTCAAAGGATGACCTCACTGCATGCCGTCCCTCACTCGCTCCCTCCGCTAGCTCGCTAGCTCGCTCGTTCGCTCGCGGCGCGCTCCTTCCTCCCCTCCTCCCGGCCCGCTCGCCGCCCCGCTCGCTCGCGGCCGGCCCGCGACGCACACGGCCCCGGCCCGGGCCCCCTCGGCCTGCCCGCCGGGACTCTCGGGTAGGGGGCTGCTCCTGCCTT